CGTTAACTAGTGCTTGCAGATTATCTCAATTCTTTAGCATTTATTTATACAGAGCTAAATTCTGAAGATTCCATCCAAAATTTTCAGGCTTTTTTCAAATTACAGCTTCAGGTTTTATTTCACTTCAGATTGGCTTTTGTGTGTTTAGGGTGCTTTGAATGAAAGAATCCTGGCATCACATTGGAATCTGTTCACATCACTTTAGCATCTGTTTACATTTTCTACAACCCAAATAATACAGCAGCTACAATCACACTGCACAATCTGCTCTGAATCAGTAGTAGTCACTTATTAATTACGCCCACTTTAACTCACAGCAAATGCCAGAGTAAACAAATAAACTTGTGTAATGCTAACAGCTCTCATGAACTGATAGAGGAAGCAAATGTCAGGAAGACTGTAACACTAGCCTTTCTGTCTCCCAGAACCCAGTTCCAACACCCTCCAGCAGAAGTACAACTACAGATCTAAACTGTGGAGACAGAAGGGTAGTAGAACAGCCAAGAAAATGCAAAAAAATTACTGTTTATAATGAGAAAGAAGAAAGGTCAATAGTAACATGTCATCCTTTTAACAAAGCCAGATAATACATACAAGGGGATCATGAAGGTGAACTTACTTTACCACTGGAGTATATAGGCAGTGTAGTCGGCAGTAGAGCCTCACACCCTGAAGGAGAGATGCATGGTATTATCAGTTTTTTCCTTTTCAAAGAAACATTGACTAGCTAAAGTTAACAAAACCTGGACACTGATGTCTCGGCTGGAATTATCTATTGATTAACTGTTTTTCAAAACAGTTCCCTTATTCTCTCTGTCAAATATACTTTCTTCTTTCCCTGCCTCCAGAAGCAAAAAAATCTGTTCTTTTATCTCTAATCACCTCCATTCCAACATTTTCTCCATTAATCCTTCCTCACAATTAACCCATGAACTGATCTCCATAAGAAGAAATCCAATTTATTAAAAGGCATATGGGATCAACAGAAATCATGTGACATACAATTATCAGGAATGGCAGTTAAATATTGATCTCTTCTATCTCCCTGAACCATAATGCCCAGATTTTCAGCAGACATGCTGTGTTAAGACCTTTTATTAATATATTAGGATTGTAATCAGCAGTCTTGGCTGCAGTCACAACCGTATTGTCATGAATTACTAAGCTCTGCTTCCTCTCCCTAGAGTGAATGTCTCCTATGGCATTAGGATGGATAGCTTAATGCAACAAAGATAAACAGCATTAGGGATCTCCTATACAACAGGTCAACGACATTCAGAGACAGAGCAAACTCTTTTGATGCAAACCACAAGATTCCAACTAAGAATGATAATACAAACCTTGGACATGATGTCTTCCAATTCACTTCTTGGCTTGTACGTTCCATCATCATAGCGAAATCTGTACATCACCTGCTCATTCTTAAACTGGTGCTTATCTGAAACTAAAACACCAGTATGATAATTAAAATTAGTCTTTTCTCCCCTTCCATGTTGTTCATAGGCCAGCTGGTATGTCTACGCCTAAGTACTTGCTGGTATCTATCATTTTCTGAAAAGAGGACTCAGCTCCTCAAATTTCCCCTTATTGTGTATATAAATCCTTATGTGCACTTCTGAATAGCTCTGCCAACAAAAGCACTTTTCTAAAATACTGCAGCTCCAATAAAATTGAAATTTCTTCCTTGTACACCAGATTCAATTTATGTCAGGCTTTGGAAACAGTCCTCGTGAAGGTAACTGGGACCATCGGACTTTTTTCGCAAGTTTTGAACGAAGTGCCTGCAAATTCCCACAACAGTTACCACAGCACTAAAGTGATTTTTGCAGTTGCCCAAATTTCTGCAACTCCAAAAGCAGAAGCATGCTGTTGGGAGGAACTACAGCTGTTAGAGGCATTCTTCTACGATGGTTCTTGTATTTACTAGTTAGTTCCTTCTAAAAATTAAATAATACTTTTGAGAGACTGCTTTTTCACCCAGAACAGCCATTCCAGAGTAGGGCAGTTAAAATCTTATTGGGTAATGCTATATACTGGTAGGCTTTAAAGACAAGGACACAAAGATGTTTCAATGTGATAAGGAACCATTTCAAAAGAAGCATTGGCCAAAACCAGAAAAGAGTTCAAAACCATACCCATTTTCAACCAGATTTATCCAATGCACAGACTGGAAGAGGGTTGAAGTCTATATCCAGTTATATGTAGATTTATCCTGTCTCTATTCTAAGGTAAACTATTTCAGTAGAACATGGAGGTGGGAAACCCTCATACTGAAGATAGTAATTTATTAACTAGTAGAAATTATTTCTTTCACTGATGAGTAAAAAAGTGGTACTTATAATAACTTATTTACTTATAATATAAGTAAAAAGCACCAACGACTCTTCAAATTCAAAGTAAGTAATAAAGTATCTTCCAGATTTTGCAGTATGTAGTATAGAAATGCCATTGTTCACAGCTTAATTTAATGGAGACCAGTTACAACTATGTAGAGAAGGAGGAGGAAATCTGGAGAGGAGCAAGCAAAGCAGACAGCAGATAAGGTGGAGTAGCTTAGTCACTGTAATCTTTCCTGCCTTTGCCAATGTAACAAAACCATGGCCAGATCTTTGTGCTGGAGCACCCTTGAATATTTTGGATGCAGTATTTCACAGTGTAGGCACAGCATTGGACAAACTGAGAGAAAAAATGGATTTATACTATTTAAGATGCATCTTAGCCTGAGTTTGATTAACCTGAGAAAGCTGATCGCACTGGATGACTAAAGACAATTAAACTGGGTTGGGCAGACTCAGAAGTATCAGGACCCAGTTTGAGATTTAGTCTGCCCCTTGCAGAGTGGGCAGGATAATTGTTTAGACAGAGCCCAGAAATTCTTAAGACCTTCCCTCATTATATAGGACATCCTGGTCTACGAATATTTAATTAAGATTCCTGCTTTTGGTGATATTTTTCCTTAATTTCACAGAGTAAAACAAAATTTGCAGGATCTGATGTATATCCTTTTGTATACAGTGGAATCTCTAAGCTGTGTAAGCTATTGACTTCTTTGAGTGTCTGCATGCCCTGGATTTTGTATTCCTAAATCCAATTGAGAATCAAGTCTGCAGAAAGCGTCTTTTGTGTCTGGCACACAGCAGATGAGGTTCTGATCGCTTCTGCTCTCTGTGATAAGTACCAGAACTTCCACATCAGCAGTCCCAGATAAAATAGCCAGAATTAAAGGAGATACAGAGGAAATTGAGTGATAAAACACACAGAGCTCAGCACTTAGCACAGAGCTCAGCATTTAGCAATCTTCTATGGCCCTGCTTCTCAGGCAGGCTGAGAGATCAGCAGTTTTCACCTGACAGTAATGTTATGCCAAGTGAAAACAAAAGATAAAAGCTATTGCCTAATGTAGAAGAGGGGTAAGGGCTTCATTATGGTGCTTAAGTTTTAAGTTCTTGCTACATTAGGAGACACATAACAGGATACTTTCATATCTAATGATTTATCAAATCTCCTTAAGTGAATGAAGCGTTGCAAATACCTTCTGATATCTAGCAACAACTGTCACTGGAGGCACTAACATCAGGAACTCTAACTGAAGGTAACATTAAAACCAAACCAGATGCATCTTACTCAAGGCATGTGAATAAGGGGAGCAGCAGGTATAACAGCACAACTTTCTTTGAGCTGTAAATTTGTGTTTAGAGAAAGAGGACACTGCTGAAAGTGTCGAAGTATGAAGTTATGGCAAGGTAAACAGTCACCACGAAATAACAAGTCTCAGGAGAGCTTTTTGCCCCAACGGTGCAAGTGTAGACATTCAGAACGTAGGCAAGTAAGGGTGTGAGCATAAAAGAGCGTTCTTCATCCAAAGCGGGATCCCTATACATTGGAGCCAGAGTGTTTCAGTTCTCCACAGCCACAGTTAGGGCCAAGTACTCAAAAGTATTCAGTGCTTTTGAGCTCATGCTCAAAGCCCTTCAAAGTCTGAATGTGCCTGGAAGTATGTCTTGGTACCTGGGGTGGAAGTACATGTGCGTGAAGGATTATGGTACTGCTCATATTCGATTTCTCTGTGTTAATTAGAAGAAGACAACAGACATGATTTCTTAACAGTGTTATTGTCACCTGAAAGACAAGTTTGTGGAGCTGAGTTACCAAGAGATTAAAGCAAGACTAGCCTAATTAAATGGCTCCCCTATTTAAACTGGTTTCCAAGAGATTGTATGGAAATGTAGACCATTGGTGACTTAAGACCTATATACCTTATTCCTTTGATGTGCATTTTGCAGCTAAACTCACCTGAAAATTGAAACTGGGGCATTCGCTGTTTAACTAGAATATGACTATGTTCCTCCATCTGCATAACATTATATGAAAATAATAGGAAACAGCAAGACAAATCTGGATTTAAAGGACATAATCTGGAGAAAGACCTTATTTTAGTAGAAATGCGGATAGCACAGAAAATTTTCAAACAAGAATCTTGTGCTACTTTGGTCATGCAGCACTTTTGTATACACTATCCTACTCTTCTAAAACACTCATCACAACACTGCAAGGTCATCTGCTGGATGTGATGAAGAAATCTGGTGCATCACTCTTTTAAAGAGAAACATTCTTGCCAAATGAGGTGGAAAGAACAAATCCCACAACAAACCCTCCATCACCTCTTTTTCTTTATGACAAGCAGTCTCATTAGAAAGAATGGCCCATCATCTGGAGCCCCTCATTCTGTTTGTACCTGTGTCCCAGTCTATAAGAGCACTGCTCGACTATCCTCTGTATTGCTGATGTCTCATATGGAAAGCTATATGTATTGATCGCTACAGATTTTCAAGTACACAAAGTACAAAGCAACTGCAGGCATAAACACTTTCAGGATACCCACCAAGTCCTGTTTTCATGACATAAATTTGCCCACTCATTAATCCCAAAAGTCATTAAACATTTTGAGGATTTGATGGCTATGGTACAGGAAAGTATTTGAGCATCACGTGAACAGCTGCAGTCAGTTTTCTACCCTCATTTCCAGGGCATTACTGAAATCTGACATCTCTTTATGGCATGGAGCACTCACCATGATGAATAATTCCATTTTCCAATAGTGCCTGTCCCAGGTTGACCCCTTCCTCTGGTTTGCTTATCTCTCCAATCTCTGTCAGCCATGATACAAACTCACTGCAAAGGGAAGCAGAACAGAAACAATTAGCTTTTTTGCTCAGAATACAAGCAGACACATGCCTCTGCCAGTCATCAGCTAGCCACAGGAGACTCTCCTTGAAGCAAGCGTCAAGACTGTTGTAAGTGATGATACCTCTATTAAGTGGCTCGATTTCCTACATTTCTGAAGGAAATGCTCTGCAGAAGATCCAGATCTCCTGTCTGTGACTTTTCCCCACCATTCCCCTTAGGTCATCATAATGAGCATGCACACAGAAGTAAAGACCACCTGGCTGGATCTATAAAGATGATGCAAATTATCATTTTATTGAGCAACCCAGACATCCAAGGGGGAAAAGGAAACCAAGATTAACTGATGACCTTGAAAACAACAAATTGGACAGTAGAGAAAACAGCTACTTCTATCCAAGCTGTCCCTCCAAGCAGTGTTCATGGTCTGACTTTATACATATGCTCACCTTTCTTCACTGGGTCTGATTTCTGCCTGCCCGCCCCCCCTCCCAGTGGTGTAATTGCATTGGCTTTAATGGAATCACAGCAGGATTTAAGACAGAAGATCCACCGTACTGAATTCAAGCACAGAGCAGTAAGAGAGAGCACAAGTCCCACTGACAGGTTAATTTAAGGTCATTTACTGGAGTTGGTGCCTGGCAGATACATAAATGATGCTTTTAATTTACAGATAAAAGGTGCTAAGTCTGTCTGCTCATGCAGCACAAAACAAAACCTCTTTCTGCTGAGGGGCAGAGCTGCACATATGGGCAGAGTAAAAGCCAAAAATGGATAGATATGTAGGATGTTACTCAATTAGAAACAGTAAGTACGTAAAAACGGACAGTGCAAGCCTGATGAATACAGCACTGCCAAAGCCCTACGGGGCTGAGTTGTTTGCCAGGTTAATTAGTGATTATACTAGAAATGTGTTAAGTTCATAGAGAAGAACAAAAGGAATATATGAAAGTAGAGCAACATATGGGAAATGTGAGTTCAATAAACCACTTGGGTCCTTGCCAATGTGCAGAGGGCTGCTGCTTATCAAAACCAGTATCCATGCCTCCACTTGTGGGCTCTAAATGAAGTATTTTTAGTCTCTTCATGTTTATCAGAGCTGATTCATCTAAGCTGTAGGTAGTATTTGCATTTTGCCTTTAGAATAACAACAACAACTTCAATACAGAAAACTCTGGTTTGCTGAGGGGCTACTCTGTAACTGTCATAGTGTGGAAAAAACAGCAGAATCTATTCAACTATGCCAGGGGAATCCCATGGAAACCAGCAGAGTTTTGTAAAACTCCTGAAGCCAGAGTACTGGAGTGACAAGTCAGGCTCTCTATCTCCTACGGAAAGCTCATTCTCAATTTCCCAGTGATCCTAAACTGTTTCTAGCAGTATTTAGAAGCTGAAACAGAATATAAACTGCAGAGGGAGGAGAAGTAAGAATGATCCTCCCCACTCATTACTGAGAATACAAGACACACACTCTGCGGACTGCCCCATCACAGATATGCGGGCCAACGACTGCAATCATGTTAAGTACCCAGGGTAGATGCCTAGTTGCTATACATTTTTCCATCAAGTGCAATGGGTCTATGGTTTTTTACAGAACTTCATCAGTTGCCCAAAACTTTAGTGGAACACTGCTACCCTGTTAGCTTTCTGGCTTCTTTTATTTGGAACTGTGTCCCTGGAGTTTATTTGGATTGTAAATGTAAGGCAGTCTTCTTAAAGTTTGAAATTGCGAGCTGAAAAAAGGAAAATAACTGAATGCTACTCTCACAGCCCTGAAGCTTCAGAACCATGGGATGGTTTTCTTAAGAGCTACTTTAAGCCTTCTGTGGCATTTGGCTCATAAGCAAAATCAGTAATCATTTGCTCTGAAGGCTTTATAAGCACTGAAAAGTGCATGATCCAGAAATATTCCAAGAGGTTTTTTAGGCACATGCTGGACTGTTGCTAAAAAAGCATCTACTCAAAAAGTGGATGGCAAAGCTTGATTTGTTTCCTCATCTTGTCCTCAGCAGTTCTCCAGTATAACTGAGAGTATCGTCTCTTCCCAGGGCTGCCATGCAAGTCAGGACACCATCTCCCAACTATACCTCTGAAATTCAGGGACTTGGAACAGCTGGGTCTCGCCTCAAGAAATACACAGGAAAATCCATCCAGGTTTGTGTAATCTGATCAGATATGTTTGCAATCTCCTGAGGTAAACAAATCCTCTCTATTACAAGCTCAATACAGTTCAAGGTTTTGCAATCAATTAAGTGCAGCACTGAAAAGAAGCATGGCAAGCATATAATTTACAGACATTGGCACCACCACACATCTTTCCCATTGAATCACTAGTCACATGCCTAAATGCCAATACACCTGAACAGTGGTTAGAAAAATGGATTTGCACTCAAGCAAGTCGGTTGCTGAAGTTAAGTTCAATAAACAGCCTTATAAATAAATGCATATGATATTTCTGAAGATATTAGGATTAGTTCATGCTTTTTTTTCTGCAAACACATTTTATCTCTTGAATTATTACATGTTATCTGATATCCAAAAGCCAAGAGAAAAATTATTTTTTGCAGCCTCAGTGTTATTCTCAGCTGCATGTAGCAGAAAACCACTAAGTACATCTCAGCACGGTTATTAATGACTCCCTTAGGCAGGAATACCTGAAAAAACGAATAGGTCACAGCCAATATGCATTGTTCAGGGGAAGCCCCAGGAATGAGATGAAAAGTCTGTGAGTCATGGCTGGATTGTACTGATTGAGTTGCACTCAACTGAGTTGCCCAGGACTGTACCAACAAGTGACTGTTGAAAAGATATCAGCAGTTATTTTCTATGGGGAAGGCTGGAACATTAGCAGAAATAATGCTTTTGTCAGAGGTCAGGATACCTGTAGGTATCTCAGTCTGGGCTCAGTTACCCATTGGCAAAGTTAGGTCAAGTCCTCACTACTGGAGTGTCAGGTGGCTGTCAAACAAACTGAGGACAATGAGCAGGACAGATTGTGGAGCACGTAAAAAACCAGACATTTTAAAAGAAAAAGGAGAAGCAGAAAATCCTGGGTAAGACTTGAGACTAAGCAAAATATCAGGGAATTCACAACAGACTCATCTATATCAGCACCGGAAGAACATAAGTTTCTGATCTGGTACTTCTTGTTGCATGGGAAATAGGAAATGCTATATCATGTCTCCAAAATCAGAGCTTAAAGGTTTTAATTTGAATCCAGCAAGATCAACTGGGAGGTGGGGCGGGGTGAGAAGAAGAAAAAAGGAACCAAATCTCCAAAAACCAAGAATTTTTTTTATAGCTGAAATACTGCCAGCCTACGCTACCAGATTGCCTCTGTCAGGCAGAAAGACAATGCATCATTTCCACACCCTGTACACAAGGAAAGCTTCCTGCAAACTGCCGTTGCAGAGACCAGGGGGAGGGAAGGGAAATGAGTGGATAATCTGCCTCTCAGAACTTTTTTCCCTCCCACAGTGGATCATTTCAATCATAAACAGCTGAGGCAGAAAAGTCTTCTCAGGTCAGCTAATGTGTCTCCCTGTGCGCTATGCAGGACATTTCCCTACAACAGCCCCACTGCTACCATATCTAATCTCTGATTCGATTTGTCCACGGAGTCTCTTTTCTACTGCCTCATACACGCCATTCTTAAGAATTATTTTGTAATATCTAGCCTAAGTGAAAGAGGTTTTTTCCAGCCAATAAAGCCCTATACTTCTAACAAACGCATCAGGTCTCCTGACGCACAAGATTTCATTTGTGTCTGTTACAGTGACAAACAGGAAACTTCTAAACTCAGTCCTGACACTTGGACAGCTCTGCTGGATTTAAACATCACCTGGTAAGCATTTGCTTGTATACAAAAGAAGACACAGGTTAGGCCACCAACAGCCCTGAGCTTGTGGGACTTAAGGTATTTTTTCTTGATCTTTTTGCCGATTTGAAACAGCTGTTATGAGTTACTGTAGAACGGAATGAGCTATCACTATAAGGCCTGCATATGGTGTGAAACAGAAATCAATGATTAATTTTAATAAATCACAACTGTAATGGGCGTTATGGCCTTTTCTATTAAGCTGCATCAAAGTACATCTGATCTGACCTCACAATGCCATCCCCAGAAAATCCAGAGTCCATTCTTTTAATTGGTATGAAAGGGCCTTTTCACTTCAAATGCCACTTACTTGCCAAGAAAGCACTTGGGAACAGTACTTAATTTTCTCCTCCTGTCTTTGATAAGGTTCACTTTCTTGCTCATCATCATTTGGTACAGCTTCTCTCCTTTCTCTGCAATCATGACGTATGCATCCCTCTCCATTCCCAGTTTCAAACCTGGAATACAAAGCAGAAATTCCTTCAGATCCTTAACATCAGATGAAGTGCTTGCTCAAAGTCAAAAGCTGAGGCCAAACAGACAAAGCAGTAGTAACACAAAAATTAACTGACTTATTTTCCAAATAAGGGGGAAATTGGGTCATTTATTTGAGTACAAAACTGTCATTTGTGAGTTCAGCACCAATGAGATGCTTGCAGCTTTTCTTCTCCGTTTTAAAAAGTAGCTTTAAACTTATGGTTACATCACATCACACAAAGTAGAATGATTTACGGAACGTGGAGAAGTTCCAAACAAGGGAAGGTAAAACATATACCTTCTGAAACCGATTTCCTCTTGCAATTTCACTTCTGACCCTGAAATAACTGCCAGCAAAAAACTTGTTCAAGGCAGCAAAATGCTTGACAGAGCAGATCACTTTTTGAGTGTTCTATTACTTGTAGCCAAAAATACAAAACTGCTGAAATCAAATTCACATCCTTAAATAAATCAAAACTAGACAGGAACATTATTTTCTCATCCTTTCTTAATTAGCCTATTTACTAATGCCCCTAGGCTAAAAATACAGTTTGACAATCATATTATCCTGTCAATGAAAGAAATATTGAATGATTTAAGGAATGATAGATAATTGGATATAGAGAAAATTTCACATCCACTTTGTATGAGTTTCCACATAGCTCACATTAACTTGAAAACTGCTACAGTCGGGAGGATGATCTCTGAAAACAATAGGTGTCTATGTTACAACGATCGCCATAACTGGCATTTTCTGGCACTCTCCCCTTTAGATTTGCAAATTGCTTTAGAAGGACAGCAGATGAGAAATGCTGTTTCGCTGCTGTAGATGTTTTGTCTTTTTTAGCCTGAACAAATTGTTTTGTATTCTGGCTATGTTATTCTAGAACTTGCAAACCCAGGCAATTCGGGAGTCCAAAACAGAGGCAGAAATTTTAGACATCTCTAAGATTAGCTTGAAAACAGGCAGCCTGAATTGGCCCTGTACTTACATGCCTAATTTTTACAGAGACTGACAATAGGCAGAATTTAAGTGATCAGTGTAAGGCTAGAAAATGAAAACTCTACATTCTTTAGGAAGAGCAGCTCACCCTAACTGGACACAAATCCTGTTGCTTTATGGTAAGATACTGAAATGAAGTAATAGCCTTCTGCGGCATCAGAGCTGCTTTCTAGCCTTTTGAAAACGCTTAATGCATTTGTTCTCGAGGCTTGAAATGCACGTTCCAGAAATTAGACTTGCACAACATTTTGTCTTTCAGATACGGTATTTCTTTCATGTGTCCAATATCTGGCTAAAGGTTTTGGCTCCGCAAATCCCCTGGCTTATTGCTGTTATTCTTCCATCCTCTTCTTCCCCAATACTGTGATCCAATTCAACACGAATGCTGACACGTGTAGCCGAGGCTAATTTGCAACATGAACTTGTGATAGAAAACAGCCTGTGTAACAGTGTACATGTTTCCTGCTGGTTTTACATCGCTGCATTCCCCAGGCTCTGATGTAAATGGCAGACTGGAACACACATTCTACCCAACTCATCCTACAGAACTGGGAATCTCACCAAGCCTTCTAATCCAAACACAGCTATCTCTGTGACTTTGCAAGTACTCTGATCCAAAGGAGGTTTTCCAATAAGGCCTGGAATGTCTGCCAGAATATCTATGCTTATCCCGAGTGCCTGTCATCAGCTGCCACATCATAAAACTATATGACAAAAAGCATCAGAAAAAAACCACTCTTACTAGCTAATGCTGCATGGAAAACTTTGAGAAACTTTCTATTAAGGAATAGTTCTTTTCCCTTCCTAGTATTTATTTCAGTCACCTCCCCATATTTTCAAGCTCCCTGTTTATATAGGGTCTGTTTTTCTAGTCCTGTCTTTTTACTTATTGAACCTTCTCTCTCCTCACACATTTTTCCCGATGCACAGGAAATTCCGCAGAGCACTACTGACCTCACAAAGCGAAAACTCACTACAAAATGGAGACTCACTGAATCTTTTAGAGATATGATTTAGCACTCTGAGGGTAAAAGTAAGAGCCAAGAAATGTATTTTATTAAAAAAATATATCATGTGGAAGATCAGGAACCTTATAGTAGAGCGGGATGCAGAACTGACCAATGAGCACAGACTAGCAGCTCAGAATGGTAAAATGCTTCCTTTTAATAATAAAAAAAACCAAACAAAAAACCCCAAACAAACAAGAACCAAAACACCCAACTGATTCTCTCTGTTGCCCTCAGGTAGTTCTTTTGAATTTACACCATTCCCAACCTACTTTTAGAACGTAATATCCTTGCTATTATCAAAAGGTGTGTTGGGGTTCATATATGTGGTGGTTTAACCCCGGCTGGCAACTAAGCACCACCCAGCTGCTTGCTCACTCCCCCCACCCCAGTGGGATGGGGGAGAGAATTGGAAGGGTGAAAGTCAGAAAACTCGTGGGTTGAGATAAGAGCAGTTTAATAATTGAGTCTCCGATCACTCCCCCCCAGCCAGCTCCCCCCAGCTTACACACTAAGCATGATGTCCTATGGCATGGAATAGCCCTTTGGCTGGTTTGGATCAGCCCCCTTGGCTCTGCCCCCTCCCAGCTTCTTGTGCACCTGGCAAAGCAGGGGAAGCTGAAAAGTCCATGACTGGTGTAATGTCTACTCAGCTAGACCCAAAACATCAATGTGTTATCAACATTATTCTCACCCTAAATCCAAAACACAGCACTATACCAGCTACTAAGAAGAAAATTAACTCTATCCCAGCTGAAACCAGGACAATATGTGATAAAGTATGTTAGAAATGTTTTATATTCTATGGTAACAAACAACACTGTAATGTGCTTTGTGTTTAGCAGATTAGATGCAAAGCATTGTAACATAAAAACTAAGGTTTGGATTTCAAAGGACATTAAAGGATTTAGATTCTCTGCTTTCATTAAACTTCAGTAACAGATCTGTAACTTTCTTAAAATACTTTAAAAATCTAAAGAATTATTGCTTAGCAAGTACAAGTTCTGAAAACACACTACTAAAAATGGGTTTCAGACTGACCTCTTTCAATACTAGCATAGACGAGCAATTACATCTTTACTGGAGTTGTGTGTGCAGAGAGGGGAACCACTTCTAAAAGTCAGGCAGAGAATACTTTAAAATCAGTGTTATTTCCTCTGGCAATGAGCTGTTATTTTTCCCACTGAGTGAACAGGGAAGCAGGTTCACTTGTGAAAAATAGTTCTGACTTTTAATGGAACTCAGAACTTTTATCACCCACCCTGGTTCATGGCTTTGTGAGCTTGCTTCTGTTGTACAACACCATAAACAAGAAAAGATAAAAGTGAAAAGCATCCGCATACATTTGTCACTGTTCTCAGTCTAAATGTAATATTTCTAGAGTTTTTCTCCATGAGCTGTTTATTTCAAGATCATGGAGGCCGAGTTTGTGAGAACGTGTTTGTGCCATTGCCTCTGGAAAAAGGCTGCACACTGGATTTTCTTCTTTCCTTTTACTGATAAATACAAACACAGTTTTATCTTATTTACAAATAAAAGGCCAAAAATTAAATTGATTAAATGTATTTTTTTCACAGCAATTCAGTGCATCAAAGAAACTGACTCTGGCAAATAGAAACATCTGATAAATATACTGACACAAGTCCATAAAAACCCCAAGGTACACATTCAGAAATATTTGTTTTCAATCACTTGATTTTCTTTGTCATTAAGGATAGATTTTAATTCTGCCCGTGGAGGAAAAATTCCAACCTTTTCTTTTTCTCTCAGATACTTACGCATGCATATACATTTCTCTGTTGTACACAAGTTCATTCAGTGCATTAGAAAATACATTATCCACTTACTCTCTCTCTGCTCCCTTTCCTTGATTATAGCATCCAGCCATTTCTGTTTGTCCTCTGCAGTCTTGGCCATGCAGACAAACCATTTGTTTTTGGCTGTGTTGTGTATCTTCCAGCCATTTGTCACAGTGTAGCCGTTGCTGTGGTAATCTGCTATAAGAACCAAAAGCACAATGCACACAGTGAATAGAAGGCCTGCTACTTTAATCAAATCAGTGTGGGACACCTTAATTAAAAATTTCTTCTTTGAAGAGTTTGATTTCTGGAGGTGTTCCTCGTGCATCAGTCCTGCTGACTGTCCATGTGACTGGCTGTTACTTACCACTCTGGAAGTACAAATATTAATAGAAGTATCCATGGCTAGGCTGTTCAACTGACTGAATGTTTCAGTCCTAAGAGTGACACTTTGTAATTTCACCTCAGAAGAAGAACTAAAGTATTTTAAATATAACGACATCAGTGAAAAAGTCTATGATGTTTGTTCAGGTTACTTGTTCTGAACTTTTTGGGGACACACTAACTTCTTGCACTGTAAGTATTTTTGTCCAGAGGACATGGGAACTCTTTAAATGTCAAATGTTTAAAGGACATAATATTATTTCCTGACTTATTACAATAGGAGCAGGGGCTGGCATGACCTTTGTGGATGAAATCAGAAACCCATCCAGTCTTCCTGCCTGTGTTAGAACACAAGAATCTTAACACAACTGCATTCCCATATTTCGTTCACGTCCGCATTCCATGCTACTGATTTGATGCTAAGACTAATATTTGGTAGTACTCTGAATGAGGAGAAGACCCAAAAGTTCTGTTATTATAGCTGTAATGGCTTAAGATGTAAGAAAAGAAAGGATGAAAGAAGATAAAGTGTCTTTTACTAAATTAACTTGGATTAGGAGAAAAAATAGACAAGTTTCGGGGTACACAAACTCTTCATAAGGTCATTTCAGAATGAAGGACCAGTGCCTGAAAGCATGTCCAGTCTTTCAACTCTATGATTTGGTATTATAATTAAGGCATCAGAAACTACATAGCTTACTTAAGATTTCACTAAAGGAGATGGATGAGTACTTTTGTACCAGCTTCCAACACAAGATCTGGACGTGCTGTGTTGTTAAAAGACAGTATTTGGTCTCTTACCTGTTCCATCTTCCACATTCTCCACCTCCATGACTTCTGTATTTATTCGGCCCCTGAAGATATACAGGGACCCATTGATGGACTTTGTCCGTTTAGATGGTTTTTTCCCAGTAACTCTGCAATTAGGATTTAGACTGTTAGCAACACATAAGTGAATAGCATAACATATATATGCATAAATCAATCTGAGATATGATTATTAAAAAAGGATTCCAATACAGTGTTTTGTGGTATTTGACCATGTTTCTGATTTTAAATAATTGGAATACTCAACCAGCTCATGAAGATAAGCGTACAACAGTGTCAATATAGCGATAAAGAGCTTATTTTGCAAGATTATGTGAAGATTGGGATGCCTTCAAGATTTACATTCTTGATGACCAATTGAAATGCCAGCACAACTGAACTGCACATGGCTTTGGGATGAAAACTGCAATATCACTTGACACAATGTTATATTTGCCTCCTTTGTTTCCCTAAAGCTTTGATAAATTTGTGGCATGTGTACCAAGTTTCAAATATGAAATGAAACATGTGAAGAGGCAAGTGTCACATGGTCTGTCGAATGTCTGTTGAATGTCTTTGTATGTGGCATTTGTGAAGGTGCTGCTGTGGCGATTTCGCACCAAAGTTCACATCCTTATCCATAAGCTTTATAGTGTCCCTGTTGAAGTGTCTTATAAAAAAATTCAGGGAAGTACTTTTCATTGCTAGTTATGTTCTCACTTTTATGTCTAGAATGCGTTTAAAACTATCCAACTGACACCTGCTGAGCTTTAATATCTAAAAACAACCCTGCTCTGTGAACCAAAACACAACTGGTCAAATGATCATCATTTGAGATGGCAGGTGGCCAAGCTCTGTACAGAGAAGGGATTGTCATGGCAACTTGCCAGGAGCGCTAAGATTCAAGGAATATTGCAATAAAAAACAGCTGGGGAGAAATATCTGTCAAAGTGAAATATCTATGATAAACTGAGGTGAGAGGAGAATCACCAAGTTTTTCTGAACAATTTTTCCTTTTACAACTGACTTTAGTGACAAATACACCTTTAGTGATGACCATATATTTACATTCAATCAGACTGACAGGGACTGAGCTCTTGGAGCTATTACGTCATTTCCTAAAGACGACTGTTGGAATCAAAAGCAAAGCTGTCCTGGCAGCTTTCATGAAACCCTTTTAATACTCAGCCCATTTCCCCACATGAAACATATTGTTCCTGACATCAGGATTCAATTTAAACAGCAGTCTATGATCCTGCTAAAAACACAAAACAGTGCTCAGCCCTGAAAATCTATGTCATCAGTTTGTCAGACTTTCCTAAGCTTCTGCAAAAGATGAGATGCAGTCTTAGATCGAATTCTGATTCTAAACGCATCTTAAACTGGTCTCAACAACGTTACACCTAATTTATACCATTGTGAAAAGATATGATGCCAAATTCAAATGGCTGCATTGTTGACTACTTATCAAACATTGGGGCCTGAATTCTGACTGCACTTTTCAATCCAGAAAAACTCCAGTGATTTCTTGCAAGATAAGTGTAGTGTAAGTGAGATGAGAACCAAGTCATTCAATTTCAAATTAGGAACAGACACAGGCAGACTTTGGGGTTTGGGTTCTTTTTTTCCAAATCTGTGTCCCACTAACATGTCAGTTGTGTGTCAAGCAGCTGGCCAAACGATCACACCAGCACAATTGGATAGACGTTCGTTTCCATCCTGAACTAATTATAAATAGCAGCTAGACAGGCAAAATATCCAAAATTAAAGTCACTCAGCAATCCCTAAATATATCTTTTACATTAGGCAATTTCCAGAAGACTTAATAAAATATTCTACTTTTTAATGGAAATCAGATTTTGGACATTTCATCAGTTCAAGCTACACTATTAGACAAAGATAAACAATATCGATCCTTTGGGAAAATCAAAGCGTTACAGCAGCCTCCTCCAAAAGCAAGCCAAACTACAGAGTAGCTTAGTAATATCTCCTGTAAAAAAACAGAGAGTTGCTTAAAAGGCAGTAGAATATTTTGTTTTCTAAATCTTAGTATTCCAGGAAAAATGCTTGGACAGCGCGGGAGGGGCTAGACTAACCTGAACTACAAAGGGGACTAGAAAACCAGTTTCTAAGAGCTCTGAAGTAGTAAAAGATTAGATGTCAAATTGATTTTTTTTTTTTTTTGGTAGGGAATAGTTTTCTGTTAGAAGACACACAAATTTCTGAACTCTGTTTCATATGGAAGTTTGGATTTTGACAAATCTGGTGAAGTGTCAAAGTGAAACGTTTCATCTTTCTTGCTCCATTTCAGCAGAATCAGAATGCTTCAGTTAGACGATATTAAAAGCCATATAAGACTGAATTCTGTAATTTTTTTTTTTCAATTTAGTTTAAATGTTTAAATTACATTCTAACAATTTCTAATGTAGATTTCACCTAATAATTTGTATTTATGTTGTATAGTTTCAGCATTATCCACACAAAAAGTCTGAACAGTACTGAAATTATTTTTTCCCAGCTTAATGGTTCCAAAATTTCCATTGAACAAAAAACTGGGAAATAAACCCAAATTTTGAGATATGAGAATTTTATTTGGAGAGAACACTCTGGTTTTTGAGTTCTAATTGGGCTGGCCATTCTACCTGGCCATCACCAGTAAAGAAGTATAACTTGAAGAAGGGGGAGGATATTAGAGGAAAGGGAGTAGGATGAGAATCTGGAGTGTAGAGAATGCATTGTAAATTCAGAAAAGACCAAGACATGAGAATGAGACTGGAGCTGTGAAGGTGAAAAGCTTACGAACTGAAATACAGTATAATTGCTGCAGAAGCAAATTGCCCTCCACACTGCTAATGCTATTTTAGTAATAAGGTGTTAATAATGGTTAAATTTTATAAGGTGGAACGACGCAAGAATTGTTACTAGGATAAGAAAGCAAGACAACACACAGAAGACATGGGCTGCAAAGGCTGAACAGCAACTTGCTAATCTTCATCTCGTCCTCACTCCGCTGTGCCCTGCATCTATTTAATGTTTTCTTAGTCTTCCACTTTCCCCTTTATTGGCTCTATATCATTTTTCATGTCACCCTCTTCTGCTTGGAATAACTTCACAATGAAAGTTGGCAAGGCCTCCTTCTTCACATCACTCCTGGAGACCCATCTGCCCTGGGAAGCTTTCCAGCTGTAAGAATTCACTCTGTGTTTTTTCTGCACTTTATCAACTTCTGTCTTTGGATTGCACACTTCTCAGGGTGGGGACTCTATTACTGTCTGGCATATTTATCCTACCATATAGTGACCTCTTTCTCATATAGTCTAAGTAATAGCAACAGCCAAGAATAGAGGAAAGTCACGCCTGTGACTCAGCCCTACAGAGCAACCGGGAATACAGTGAGTGATCAGTAATTGATCATACTTTCTACTTATAAAACTTCTGAATGGTCCCATTATAAAACCATGAAGACAGAGGGACTCACCTGGATTTCCTCTTGCAATAAACCAGTAGATTATCGAATAGAAAGAACATTCTCTCCTGGATATTTCCTGCT